AGAGCTTATTAATATTTAAATGTAAAGCGTTATTTCCCTCCTGTTTAAAGAATTAATTCACTAACATTTGCGTATTTTTATGAAGAGATTATAAAATAAATGTTTCTCATCCATAAAACTTTAGTTAATCCCAGATCCTAACTGATAATTTGTATATTAGTAAAAATTTGGTGAAAAATACAGCTTCCAGGCTGCACTCTATTACTTACTCTTATCCAATGCCTCACAAATGGATCATATTTATGATCTACTGGTAGTCTCAAAATCTTACTTTTAAACTAAAAAAGAGGTAACTGACTCTACTCAACTCTCTCTTCCCTCCAAAAAGCATCCCAGTTCTCAAAGTTGAATGTTATATCATTTGCTTGTATAACTAACAAAGGTAGAGGACTTTGAGACAATTTAAGGTTTTAAACAAAAGTGGGGTTATACAAAGTGTTTAGTACGAATTAAATAGCCTGAACCTAGTTAACTTTCTGATGACCATTTATTATGTACACTTCTTAAACTGCCTGTCTGGAAGCTTATATGCACACTCAGGTGTGAATGCGTTAGTGTGTGTCTGCATATATGAATGTGTATTTTGCACATAGTTGTGTGCATAGGCTTGGTGGTGTGTGCAAGGGTACATGTATACATATGTGCGAGTGCACATATGTATAAGGGGGAGAAAGGGGGAGAGAATGCCTTTGCAGATCAACTGAGCGTCACAACAACAGGCTTCTTCCAAGGAGAGAACAAAAATACCTTTGGACGAGGTTCACCAAACGTTGCCAGGCCAGTGACTGAGACGACACAAATAACACGGTCAAGACTCATTAGGACAGACTCATTGCTGACCGATTCTCAAAAAAGACACAAGGCTTCCTTGTCTTGTTTGGTACATCTCTGTGCCTGCATTTATCTTAAGAAAACTTATGGCACATGCGCCTACTCCCTTTCGCTCACCTGAGCACATAAGTAACCAAAAAACCTAACTTGATTTTATGGCCGATTTGCCAAAGTTCTCATGCATTTTGCCGTCAACCTCCGACACTATTTCTTTATCCAAAGTCGGACCGGCCAATATAGGGAGTAAAATGCATATCCATAAATGTGGTAAGGGTAAGCCAGAATTGCTAATTCTGTGTATCTGTGTGGTTTCTGACAGAAAAGGCCCGGGCAAAAGTCGAAATCTGGTGAAGACTCTTACTGTAGGCATGTGCTGACCCGAGAAAATCTCGTCTGTAGTTATGTATATTCATACTTTTCTTTCGACAACTTTCAGCTTACGATCATGCAAACTAAATCACTTTAAGCAGGAATCGTTCAACACGCCTCCGCTCTC